TATATATATATATATATATATATATATATATATATATATATATATATTGTTTCAAAATCCAAGCTTACAAAAAGCTCAAATAAATCGGCTTTTGGACACACCTTGAACAAAAAGAAAATATCTAAAAAATATCAGGATTTTGTACTTTTGTTATTTCCTATCTGATATAACAATCCCAGTGAAGTAACTGGTTACAGTTGGGTCAACCCTTTACATACCTTTATATACCTATACAATATATATATATAAAGGAACATACTTTGTCGTTCATATCTCGGTTTCATATAGGAAACGTAATATTTCACTCTCTTGTGTCTCTGATCCTTTCCCCAGTCTTCTGCAGCCCACACCCCTTACCTCATCCACCCATTTTCCTTCCTTGATATACCAATCCCTTTTCCCAACCCTTTTCCTTTGAACGTTTTCAACCCCATGGTCATATCGTATATCTATTCTCATCTTTCCCCCAAACCACTCATCCCTTTTACAATTCCGGGAGGACACAACAATAGATTGGAATGGGAAAGGAGAGGGTTGGAGTGGGGTGGGGGGGACTGTTGTGGACCAATAATTTCCAGGTATAGTGTTTGAAACCTAGGCAAACATTTAAAATCTGGCCAAAGACCCAACGATTCTTAGCATACCAGAGATGATCAGAGGTGGGTTTGATTATTGTTATTGTTGTTGTTGTTGTTGTTCTACTAGCCAGTTCTAGTTGGAAATTATTGTTGGATTCTATAACAATAGGTCAAGCAACTATCATGCATTTCAAATGAAACATATATATATATATATATAGAGAAAGAGAGATAGATGAAGTTGAGGTATTTTAGGTGTCGCTTATAACCGGCGCAAACGAAAGTAACATCCTGCTGTTGCTATTACCATTACCACCACCATATATAATGTAATTTATCTTTATTAGCATGTGTCGGGGTCTCGCACAAATCCGACGGCAGACGAGTTTATTTTAACGATGTTACACATACAAACATAATTTCCATTTTATGGTTTTCAAATATATTGGATTAATGATCGTTTGCATTATATAATAAAGATTATTATTATTATTATTATTATTATTTTCCTAATGTATTTTCTTCGAGATAAACAAAGATAATAAGAACAAATAATTATCTAAATTAAATTTGTTTATCATATTATGAACGATGACATTTTTATTTAAACCTGAAGGATTTTATTTTCAATGTTAATCAATTTTGATTACAAAAAACGAAGGAAAATAGAAAGAAAAAAATTGTGATAGGCGCATATATGCGTCCTCATTCTACTTATATCGTATTAATTAGGCGCATATATGCGTCCTCAGTCTACATATATTGTATTCATTGGGCGCATATATGCGCCCATATCGTACAAAGATTAGTTTAAAGTACGAGATATTATGCTGTAATGTTTTAGAACAGTTTTGTAAGAGAGTATTAGTGAAATTATGTATATAAGTGTATATATATATATATATATATGAGAGACATAATCGTGAAGTTATGTGTAGGTTAGAAGACAACAGGTCCATGTCTGAAAGCTTCCGAGGTCAACAGGTAGTCTTCGATAGAAAGCACAGAGACCGAATAGAGGTGAGGGCTCTTTTGTGAAGTCTATGAAAACATTGTATGTCGCTTGAAAAATCGATCCGTTTTAAATTGCCGATCCCCTTTCATTTTTTTTTATTTTCGTCACCTTTTATTTTTTCCTTTTATTCGTTCCTTATTTTATTTATTGTTATGAAATAAACATTTTATTGTATCGAATAATTTTGCAATAAAAATATATACTCTCATTCGTATCTTTTATTTTGATTTTCACACATTCGTTAAAAAAAAAAAAGAAAGAAAGAAAGAAAACATTTGAAAAATCATTTTAATCCATTTAATACAGGTTATATACATTACATTCATTTATCGATCGAATTCTAATTGAAACACGAGAACAGGGACGTATTTTTAGGGGTGCAAAGGGATAACGCACAGTAGATAAAGAAAAAAAATTAATTATGATTGGATGTTGCGAAAAGGAGTGTAAGGGTTGAAGGGATAACGCACAGTAGATAAAGAAAAAAACAATTAATTATGATTGGATGTTGAAAAGGGTGTGGGGTGTTAAAAAAAAAAAAAGGAAATTGAGGGTTGGTTGAGTTTAAAATCGTGAAAGGTCTTCTTCAGAAGCCTGACAGCTTTTTATAAGAGAACGACGTAGTTGAAAATTAGGGGAATACGTAAAAAGGGTTAAAGGGTTGGAATTGAAGAAGACTACAAGGGGTGAAAAGTCAAAGTTCTCTTCTATGGGATGGAGGAATGGGGGATGGGGGCCACTTCGGATATCTTCTCATGGCTTTTCAACTGTTTCAAACGCATTTGCGTGTGTGTGGTGTGGTGTGTTTTACCTTTCACTGGGTATATTCAAGTAACCCCCGTAAAACGAGGACGTTGACGAGGGGTAAATTTTCTTGTCCGTTCGATTTACTTCACTCTGATCCATAAGGAATAAACTTGACTACTTTCCATCGTAATTCACCACAAAGGGAATATCTTTTAGTCAATTTAATAACCTTGAAATTCTCTTTTGCAATTTTTAATATACAGCTGGAATGTGCAGATAGGGGATAGGGGATTAAGGGTTCAGTATAGGATTCTTGTTTTAAATGAATAACGATAGAGAATAAACGAAGAATTATTTTGTGCAAATTCATCGAGAATATTTTGATCAGACTTTAAGATTAATTTTCATAATTAATTATTTTCAATTTTGTTTAATTATAAATCATATAAAATAAATGGTTTTATAAATTATTAGAAAATAAATGATTTTATAAATTATTAGAAAATAAATTGAGTTTTATAACAATAAATGTATAATCTATCAATCATAATTTAACATGAATAAAATTATCATTTTAGTTTGTAGTCAAAAAGTTCATTTATTTTGATAATTAATTATTTCAAATTGTTCATCATTATAAATCATATAAAAATAAAAAAAATTAAATAAATGAATTTATAATTTATTAGAAAATAAATTGAGTTAACAATAAATGTATTATTTTATATGTATATAAACATATAGGGTTGCGTATCAGGGTTGCATCGAGGTTTTGACATGATTGTATCAGGGTTTTTGACATGGTTGTGTCGAGGTTTTGCCATGGTTGTGTCTTAGTTTTGCCATTGTTGTGTCGGGGTTCTGCCATAGTTGCGTCAGGGTTTTGCCAATTTTTCATCAGGGTTTTGCCATAGTTACGTCAGGATTTTGTCGAGGTTTTGCCATGGTTGTGTCTTGATTTTGCCATTGTTGTGTCGGGGTTTTGCTATAGTTGCGTCGGAGTTTTGCCATAGTTTTGTCGGGGTTTGCTTTAGTTGCATCAGGGTTGTGTCTGGGCTTCGTCAGGGTTTTGCTAATGTTTCGTTGGGGTTTTGCCATAGTTACATTAGGATTTTGTCGAGGTTTTGCCATAGATCTATTAGAATTTTGTCGAGGTTTTGCCATGGTTGCATCGTAGTTTCGCCCTGGTTGCTTCAGGGTTGCGTCGGGGATTTGTCAGGGTTGCGACGGGATTTTGACAAGGTTGTTTCAGGATTTTGACTTTGTTGTGTCGAGGTTTTGCTATGTTTATGTCGGGGTCTGCTATAGTTGCGTCAGGGTTGCGTCAGGGTTTTGCTAATGTTTCGTCAGGGTTTTGCCAAAGTTTCATTAGGATTTTATCGAGGTTTTGCTATGGTTGCATCGTGGTGTTGCCATGGTTGTGTCAGGGTTGCGTCAGGTTTGCGTCATGGTTGCGTTATTGTTGTGTCAAGTATATGTATATATAATAACGCTTAAATCCTTAAAATAGCACTCGTTTAAAAAAATAGAGTAACCACAACAAAGTATATTCCCTTAATATAAGAATAATTAACCTTGCAGCTTTAAAATACCACAAATATTTTTAAATGTTCAATGTTTAAAAAATAAAACATTAATCTTGCTCAAAAAAATAGATATACTATATACAATAAAATAATTTACCTTGAAAAGCAGCTTCAAAGGTTGTCTTCTCATCGACAGGATTCTGTCCAAGGACGACGGCAATAGCAAGGTAGCCGAGAATCATGATAATCTGACGACTACGACAAATCCTTGCCATAGTCCACGGTTAAACATGCACGTCCCTTGTTTTTTTAAACTACGATCGATCCCTTTTCTTCCTCCCTTAGTTTCCTCCCTTATCCACTTCTTCCTTTATTTATTTATTTATTTATTTATTTATTCCTCCAGTAAACTCTCGTTGAGACGATTTGAGACGGTGCTTTTTTAAAAACACACTCTGAAAGAGAGGAGGAGGAGTAGAAGGAGTAGGATGGGGTGGTTGTGGAAGTGGAGGTAGGAGGAGGTGTTAGCTAACGCTTTGCAAAACTTTTCCTTATTTTTTATTTTATTTTCCTTCTTCTTCTTCTTCTTCTTCTTCTTCTTCTTCTTCTTCTTCTTCTTCTTCTTCTTCTTCTTCTTCTTCTTCTTCTTCTTCTTCTTCTTCTTCTGCTTCTGCTTCTTCTGCTTCTGTTTTTCTACATCTTTTAAATATAACCGATGATACGGCTAAGTAACTAACGGTTAATGCCATTANTTCTTCTTCTTCTTCTTCTTCTTCTTCTTCTTCTTCTTCTTCTTCTTCTTCTTCTTCTTCTTCTTCTTCTTCTTCTTCTTCTTCTTCTCTCTTTGTTTCTTACACTCTCTTTCGGGTGCCTTTCAGCAACCCACGTTCTTTAAGTTTTTTCTTCTTCTTCCTCTTCTTCTTCTTATTTCTTTTTATTCTTATTTTTTGCACTATAGTAACCGTGACTCTTGTCCGATCTTCTACTTCTACTTCTTATTCTTCTTTTTATTCTTCTACTTGAATTTCTTTTTCTTCACAGTGTAAAATATCCGTCTAGGAAAACATGGTTGCAGTTAGACAGAGAAAGAAACAGAAATGAAGGCTTAGTAGTGGTGGTTGTGGGGTTTGGGAAAGAAAGGGTAGGAATTTAGGAAAAACACACACAACGTACACACTCACACAAATATTTCATATATATATATATATTAAAAAAAATTAACAACAACGAGCACGTATACACGAAAACACAGCACACGTGTCCTTGAGGACACCTTTTCTTTCTTCTTCCTTCTTTCTTCTTCTTTCTTCGGTTTTTTATTTTTTTTTATTCTTGTTTATCTTCTATCTCTTTCTTTTTCTATCTCCTTTGGACTTTAAGTCACTAGGGTCGAGTGTCTCGAAGGGAAACCGTGTAACGTCGATCGAAACTCTTTAAACCTGCGAACCAATACGAGATCGTGTCAAGTGGACGGTTCTTTCCCCACTTTTTTTCACACACCCCACCTTTCCCACCCCCCTCTCTCTCTCTCTCTCTCTCTCTCTCACCCACTCACTCTTTGTATTATTCTACAATAGAATCAAAGAAAGAAAGAAATAGATATATAGGTAGTAAGTAAAAGAAGTGAGAAAATAAAAAGGGATGATCTTAAAGCAATAATTTCTTACGTTTTTACGTTAATACCACAATTAAAATGGAATACATAAAATAATAATACAGGAAAAAGTATTAAAAAGTAAGGTTAGTTTTGTCGTATGAAAATCTGTAAAAAAAAAACCTGAAAAAAATCTGAAAAAAAACCTGAAAAAATTGAATTATAAATTAACGCCATCTATTGAAAACTAACCAGAACTTGGAGGAATTAAGTAAACTATAAATATATATATATATATAATAAATCCTTAAGTTAGCAATAAAAAGTAAAAATAATCGCGATAATTAATTACGTATTATTTTGTATGTAATTATAATTTACTATATAGTTTAGAATAATATTAAATCAACGTTCAATAGATGGCACTGTATTACAATTCAAGTATTTCGATATATTCATGTCATACGTTGTTCTAACTTTACATTTTATATTTTTTCCTGTATTATTGTTTTATATATTCTATTCTAATTATGGTATTATTTTGTATGTTGTTATAAATTACTAAATAATTTATATAATTTATTATTATAATATTATATTTTAGCATCCTAGTATACCAATATATACATTCTAATTAGAATCACGTGTAAAATAATTTATATGTATTTACGGTGTTTATATTTTCTATTAAAACAATTAATAATCTGTTGGTGTAATTTAAAAAAGATAGACAAAAATATAAAATAACATGTACTATACATATATATATGTATATAAACCCTTATATAATATATAAGAGTGCTCGAGAATGAGAAAGAAAGCAAGAAAGCAAGAAAGCACGAAAGAAAGAAAGGTAGGAAGAAAGAGATACAAAGTGGATATTAACCATCCCGTCGAAAGCTCTTATCTTAAGAAAGGTATGACATATGTACAAGTATGTCTCTTATACGTTTATATATATATATATATATGTATGTGTGAGTGAGTGTTCAGTCTGAATCGTAAGATTGTTAACCCTTTGAACTTCTAAGTCGAGTCTGTCTCAACATCAATTTGCTTCACAGGTATACTATTATTATTATACTACAATATTTCAGTGTGTTGATTGTAACTCAACATTGCTCCAAGTGATATTATTATTATTATTATTATTATTATTATTATTATTATTATTATTATTATTATTATTATTGTTTTCATAATAATTATTATATATTATTACGAATATCGTCATTTTCTTTGAAGTAGACGTATATTTGTATGGTGTTGTATTAATTTCTATGAATCTGTTTGTAATTTATTAAAAATTAATTTAAATATAACACATACACACACACACACACACACATATTATTCTATTAATTCTATTAAATATTAATAATTTAATTTCAATTTTATTTCAAAAATTAAAACTAAACGAAATGTAAACGAAACAAATTGAATTCTTTCAATCGTTTCGAGATATTTAAAAAAAAAAATATATTAACTTCAGAATATCATTGATCTAATACAATTGTTTATTAGGGTGGGGGAGAGGGGGCAGGGAGGGAGGATAATTTTGTAATAAAAACAAAAATCATCGAACCAAATACAATGAATTTAATATCAAGCAAAAAAAAATAAAACTAAACGTAACTTAAATAAAAATAAATTCGATTCTTTCAATCATTCCAAGATGTTTACAAAAAAAAAAAAAAAATATATTAACTTAAGAATTTCATCGAACTAATCAAATGATTTATTAGAAATAATTTAAAAAAAAAACACACACACAAAAAGTATTAAACAAAATACAATTAATTTAATTTCAAAGAAAAAACCTAAAACGTAAACGAAATAAATTGAATTATTTCAATCGTTCTAAGATGTTTAAAAAAAAATATATATATATATATATATATATATATATTTTAAAAATACGACACGACACGACACGACGTAAAATTGTTTAAATTTTCTAAAAAAGAAAAAAAAAGAAGGAATAAAATAAAGTCGAATGAAGCAAAAAAAAAAGAAATAAATATGAAAGAATTGAACGAGTGTAAAAACTGTTACGAACGAGAGTTGTTATCGAACCATTGTCGATCATCCGACTCCGAAACCTGAAAGAGAATCAACACCAACACACACACACACACGTACACATACACATACATACAAAAATAATCTAAAAAAGTAAAAAAAAGGGTTTAAAAAGCGGAAAGATAATTCTTCTCCCGGCCCATTTATTCTCTCGACTATTATTTAAAATGTCTAATGAAAGCACAAGCGTGACGCTTTTTCAACGATTACGTTTCTATCTTTCTTTCTCTCACTAACAAACACAAACTCACACATGCATATACGAGTATATATATATACATATGTGCACATGCACAGGTGTATACAAGTAAACGTACAGTTACTCGGTTTGCTCATTTTACCATAATAACAATAATTAAGCAAACAATTTATTTTTATCTTTACCATCCCTTTTCACCCCTCACCCTTCATCCTTCATCCTTCTTCTTTTTATGGTCTTTTTTTTTTCTTCTTCTTTCTTTCTTTCATTTCTTTATAAATTTTCGTTTAAATTTTGCAAGTAACAATAGTGAAATAATAATAATAATAATAATAATAGAAATTTTTTATAATTTTACTATACTGTCCCTTTAACAATTTATTTTTATATTTTACCCCCTTCCTACCCCCAATCCTCCTTTTTTTATTTGTTTTTTTTTATTAATTTACTTTCATTTCTATTCTCATTTCTGTTTTTAAGTTTGCAAGTAACAGAAATAAAATAATAATAATAATAAATAAATACTATTTCCCTTAAGAATTTACTTTTATATTTTACACCCTTCCTTCCTATCCCTCACCCTTTCATAATTATTTTTCTATTTTTTTTTTTTTTTTTATTAACTTTTATTCTTTCATTTCTCTCTCTTCTCACTTCCAGTTAAATTTGCAAAGAATAATTTGTAAAAACAAATTAATACAAATGTTTTACAATTTTACTATTGTAAAATTCATCCCCATTTTCAAATGCATTTAAAATGAAAATCTGAAATAATATAAATTATTCTCACTATCACTATTACTATTATTACTATTACTACTATTGTAATTAAAGAAACTTTACTTTACTTTACTTTACTTAACTTTACTTTACTTTACTTTCTATTTCTTTCTATTTCTTTTTTTTATTTTTTTTTTTTATTCCTTTTTTTTTTTCTCTGACAGAAGTTAATCGGATCGTTGGGTAATTAACTTGCAATTTATTTTATTGCTTTTTCCTTTAATGATGACGATAATTAAAATAAACGCTTGTATTTTCTCTCTCTCTTTCATTTTATTTTTTTTTTTTTTTATCGAATGGTCGAATCACCGTGTTTTTTTTTTTTTATTCTTTTTTATTTTACTCTTAATTATAATCCTTGAGATTAATGATCCTGAAAATGACCTGTCCTTATGTTAGATGAAAGTAACACGATACATCCCCTTCACTTCACCCCCTTTTTATGCTTCTGATACTCTTTATGATACTCTTATCATGATCCAAACAATTTTTCAATGAATATTTTACTTTCCATCGGGTTAACAAAATACAAAATGAAAAGTAGGAACAGAAAAAAAAAATAAAATAAAATATATACATTGACCCTTTGAATGTTGAACACTTTCAAGTAAAATCTTTTGTAGGAACGGAATAATTTATTAACCAGTTAAGTGTGTTCAACGTGTATACACGTCGGACCAAATCTCTACTAAAAGTGCGTTTGACGTGTATACTCGTCGTGTAAAATAAAAAATTTGCAATCAAATAATATTGCGATTATAAATTGAGATATAAAGTATCCTATCTTTCAAGTTGGATGAAATTGCACAGAGTGTGTTAAATTTTATTCAAATCGGTTTAGAAGTTTAGGAATCCATTGCGGACAAACAACGTGACTCGTAATTTATATATATTTAATAATGAAATATAAGTAATTTTTACCAAACGTATATATGCGTCCATAACACTCGAAAGGGTTTAAGGTATTCTATAAAAAAAAAAGTAATTTGCAAAAAGGTTTTTTCCAAAAATAATTACTCGATAAATAAATGTACTGTATAAAAATAATAACTAATAATAAATAAAATCAATGTTTAGAAGTGTCACTTCGTCAAAGGAAAACCTTGAGAATCATTTATATATATATATGTGTGTGTGTGTGTGTGTGAATTTATGCGTGGTGGTATTAAAACATGCTCCAATAAGTGTCCACGTGTGACATTTTATTGACATTTTGCACGTATTCTCGAAAGATTAAAATATATGTATGTGTTTGTATGTGTAGGTGAGAAATTAAACGTTTAAGGGGGTTTGCCAAAGCGACGGTTTGTAATTATGGTGTCTTACACCATGTTTTAAAATGGTTTTTTTTTTAAGAAATAAAATTGTATAATAGTGAAATGTAAAATAATTGATTAAAAACTATAAATAGATTTGATTTTAACTTATTAATAATTATTCAATGAGAAACTTTGTCAAGTTGTATGACGTATTTTATTATAATCTCACGCATAAACATATTCATACACATGTATATATGCTCCTGCATGTATATAGAAATGAAGAATGAAAGTAAATAGTGGTTAACAATTTTATAAAAATAATTTGAAAGTAAAGAATTGAGAAATCATTTAGAAAAAAATTAATTAACATTACTATTGATTCTCGTCTGTAACTGTAATAATTTTTAAATAAACAAATCAATAAATATTAATAGAAAAATTAAGAGAAATGAACTAAAATAGTGTGAACAATTTTATAAAAATAATTTGAAAGTAAAGAATTGAGAAATCATTTAGAAAAAAATTAATTAACATTACTATTGATTCTTGTCTGTAACTGTAGTAATTGTTAAATAAACAAATCAATAAATATTAATAGAAAAATTAAGAGAAATAAACAAAAATAGTGTGAACAATTTTATAAAAATAATTTGAAAGTAGAGAATTGAAAAATCATATAAAAAAAAAAAGAAGTAATGCATTATTTATTTTAATTGTAGCCTACATGAATTGTGTCTAGTAATTGTAGTAATTTTTAAATAAACAAATAACTTAAATAAATAGAAAAATTAATAGAAATAAAAGAAAATAGTGTAAACAATTATTATAAAAATAATTTGAACCGAGGGAATTAAAACAATCATTTAGAAAAAAATTATAATATAAATTGTTATTATATCTTTTTGATAATTATTTAATTTTTAAATAAACAAATCAATGAATACAAATAGAAAAATCGAAAGAAATGAATTAATAAAATAGTGTAAACAATTTTATAAAAATAATTTCAATCTAAGGAATTGAAAAATCATACAGAAACAAATGTTTATGTATTATTTATTTTAATTGTAGTGTATATTAATTGTGTCTAGTAATTTTAGTAATTTTTAAATAAACAAATCAATGAATATAAATAAAAAAAAATAAAAAAGAAATGAAAGAAAATATTGTGAACAATTTTATAAAAATAATTTCAATCTAAATAATTGAAAAATCATATGAAAAAAAAAAAAAATTAATATACAACACTATTAATTCTCGTCTGCAATTCTAGTGATTTTTAAATAAACAAATCAACGAACATAAATAGAAAAAAAAAACCAGAAACAAAAAATGATGTGTTAACAATTTTATAAAAATATTTTCAAAAATTCAGGAAAAAGTAAAGTAATGCATTGCTATAAATTCTCATCTGTAATTGTCTGAATTTGTAATAAACAAAAAAAAAAGAACAAAATAAAAAACAACAAAAAATCAACGAATATAATAAATAATAAAAATAATTTATAATAAATTACGATAATTGAAAATTCATGTAGAAACTTAATTAATATACATTATTATTAATTATCATTGGTAATTCTCATAATTTTGAAATAAACTAAAAACGCAATAACAACAACAACAACAACAAAACAAATCAACGAATATTATAAATAATAATAATAATAATAAAAAAGTGAAATAAATAAAAAAAAAGTAACATGAATATTCGTTATTCCATTACAAACGGAATATTAATATTCGTTATACCGTCGGTGTGTTACAAAAAAAATCGATCTACATATATACTTTCATACATATTACATTTATACACATATACATACATATATATATAAAAAAAAAAAAGAGAAAGAAAATATGAAAGAGTAGAGGAGAAATAAAAATGAACAAACATCAAAAAGAATACAAAAAAAAAAAAAAAAAATAGAAAAAATACAAATTCGAATTTGCTAGACGAACTGAAATAAAAGAATCAACATTTCAAATACATACTCACATTCACACACACACACACACACATATTTACACATGTACGAATAGTAGTTTAAAGATGAACGTATGTGTGTAACTGTTGATTCTTATCCTTGTGTATAAATCAATATATTCTAACTTTCTTAAAACTATTTGATTTTATTTAAAAGATCAACTTAACTAACAAAAGTTAGCCTTTTATTGAATTAGCCCTTCTTTAGCCCTTATCCTAAAAACTTACGAAAGAAGATATAAAAAAGAACAGCATCGTGAAGGTTACTCTTTAACTTGTATAACACAATACTAACCCTAAACTATTGAAGATTTACATTAAAAATACTAAACAAAGGGAATACGTTTACAACCCCATCTTTTTCTCAAACACTTTTACATTAATAAAAATTAAAGAAGGTTGTACACGTTTTTCAATGTCATGGTGTTAGAATTAATCTTCATATTAGTTAGTATTATTAGGGTTGAATCAAAGGTTGATACGTTTTATTTTTATTTTCAATTATAATCAACCCTTTGAACGCAAATTTTTATTTTAAATTTGTTCCTTAGCAATTACTAAATGATTTTAAATTTGTCTTATTAATACAATTATATAATTATATATAATATAATAAATAATAAGATATATTTGTTTTATTAATATAATTATATAATTAAAAACTATAACAATTTAAATATAAATAAATAAATAAATTAATTAATTCAATTAAATATCTATTTTTATTTATTACTGTATTTTGTAGTTTTCAAATCTATGATTATTAATTTTAAAATAAAAACAATATTTATACAATAAATTAATTAACATTTAAAATAAAAACCGATGTCAACTAACAACAGTTCAATTCAAATTATTTTTATATTCAATCCATTGAATTCAAATGTTTATTTTAAATTTGTTTTTTTTTTTTTTTTTACAAATTACTCAATGGTTTTTCACTTAATTTTATTTGTAATTTATTTCAATTAAAAACTATAACAATTTAAATATAAATAAATAAATAAATAAATTCAAATAAATATCTATTTTTATTTATTACTGTATTTTGTAGATTTCAAATCTAGAATTATTAATTTTTAAATTAATTAACATTTATAAAATAAAAACTAATGTCAAGTCACACTAAGAAACATAAAAAGTGCAAAGGGGTTGAAATATTTCCAAAGCACATTTTATCCAATAAAAAAAAAAAAAAATAAACAATTTCCATTATGCAATTTAGAAAATAATTACCAACACAACAAACACCCACGAATTCTTGATTCACCCCTAATAATACAATTATAAAACAAAACAAAATAACAAAAGTATACAATAGAAACACTTGTACGAATGATGTGTAAAAAAAGAAAAAGGAACGGGGTTGAAATATGCAAAGAAGAAATGAAATAAGGGTGAAAAACGTAAAAGGAATGAAATAAAAAAGGGGAAAAACAAATTGTTAAATTAACTATGAACAATTTCTTCGATTCTATTCACACTCAAGAGAGAGAGAGAGAGAGAGAGAGAAAGAGAAAGAGACACTCACTTACTCACACACAAATACACACACGCACAATCGATTCCTGTTGTTCAACTCGTTGGGGAGAAGAGAAAAAGCTCGCGTGTAGGAAACACATCAAAAGTAAAGGGAAAGAAAGTGCAACAGAGATAGAAATAGAATGAAAGAACAGAAGAAGGGTTGTAGTGGGGGGGAGTGTAGTAAAGTAACAAACACACACACACACACACACTTACGATGACGAACGGGGTAGGAAAAAATGCGTAGAATCAAACTAATTGAAAAAATGATTGGATTTGACTAGAAAAAAAAAAAAGTGTCATTGACACATACACGTTAACTCACGCACATACACACATGCGCGTTGAACTCTACTTCTTCTTCTTCTTCTTTTTCTTCTTCTTCTACTACTTCTTCTTCTTATTCTTCTTTCACTTCCTATTCGTTATTCCATCTAGGTAACTATATATATATATATATATATATAATATAATTTACTATACTTTTTGTATATTCCAAAAACTTGGATCAAAAGTAACGTGAATTGATATGGAAACCGTGTTAACAGTGTAAAGGGTTCCCAAGAGGTAGGACAGAGTACGAATAGAGTACGAACAGAGTACGAACAGAGTACGAACAGATCTCGTACGCGTACAGGTAAAGGTAGACACAACTAGACAGATAGACAGACAGACGGACAGGTAGATACACCAGGTAAAGTAGACACCAAATGTTGCAATACTTTTATGTGTGACTGTAATGTAAGATGAGAATTTAACTAAACACCCTTGATGTTAAACTTACATATACACACACATACATATACATATTATATATATATATATATATATATATATATATATATATATATATATATATATATATAAAATGTTTGATAGAATATACGTATTATCCGTGTACCTGTCTGTCCTATTAGTTTGTAAATGTGAATGAGAGAATATGTGAGTGTATGTGTATTTTAGAATGAGAATGTGTGTGTGACAGGGAGAGAGAGAGAGAGAAGAAAAAGGAGAATGAACGAGAGACACCGATCGTAAAACGTGAGAGAGCAACGCGGCTTCCGCCGACGACGCCGGCCGGTGCTTCCAATCGAACTGAGGGGGTTGGTTGACGGTGGCGCCGCCGAGGGACGCTGAAATACGCCGTGTGGAATGCGTCACGAGTACCACCACCACTACTCCCCACTCCTAACTCCACAACGAGTCTCCCACCACTCTCCTCTGCTCCCCGCCACTGCCAATCCCCACCACTGGCAGCCGAGTATCCCCACCACTACCCCCGCCCCACCACCATTACCACCACCGGCAACTTTGCCTTCGATCGGTCGCCATATTTCTTTTGCCCCTGCGTTTATTATACTACCCCCGAAAACGACCTTCTCTCTTCCAGGCCATCCAATCAGGTGGGAAGGGTGGCGCAGGGGCTGAGGGGGGGCGGTGGCGGCAAGGAAAAGGGGCTGAGGGTAGGGTGAGAATTCCCTGGACGGAAACCACCTCACCTCACCTCACCTCACCTCACCTCTTTCCTTCGGACTCTCGTTTTTTTTTTTCTTCTCTTCTACGATTTCTTCATCCCCNCCATCTCTTTTTCTTTCTTTCTTTCTTTCTATTTTCGATAAGCCTTTATTGGTTTACGCACTTCTTCCTACTTTCAACGTGCTACTAGTTTTTTTTCTCTTTTTTTTTTTTGTTTTTTTTTTATTCTCTTTGGTCTTTTTTTTATTTTATTTGTTTTTTTTTTTTTTGTTTTATCGATAAGAATTTGTAGAGAAAAATCTATAAACCAACTCACCTAACCAACTCGTTGGCTTTCAAATCGAACTATAGAAAAGTCAAAGAATTGGAATAAGTATGGAAAGCATCACCCCACCCCTATCTATTTACGTGCTTTGACTGTAAAATATATATTTGACTATTTTCTTGTTTTTTTATTGTTGTTGTTATTGTAGTAATATCTTTTCTTGATTCACAATTCAGAAGACTAGCTGACTTTATTTTTCTTATTCATTTTTTTTTTTATTCTACTGTTGAACTGACAACAACTTACCCCTACCTATCCACCCTCTTAGACTATCGCACAACAACCCCTTTTCTTTAGATATATATATATATGTATGTATATATATCTTTCTTTATTTCTCTATGAGAACATCTGCTACACCTGTGGTCTTTTCTAACCCCCCACTCTGTCTTTCTAGAACCCCCACATCACCCACCTACCCCATCCCACTTTTCCTAGTCACTATTTTCTACGTACTATGTTGTGTTTGTTTCAGTTTCTCTTTGTGCAATACTCTCTCTTTCTCTCTCTCTCTCTCTCTCTCTCTCTCTCTCTTTCTCTCTCTGAAGCACTCAGCTTGGTGCTTCTGTAAAAGGATTCGTTCATGCGAACCCTTTTGTTACATTTCAAGATACAATTATGCGAATATCTGTTATACATATGCTCTTCTACTTACATATCTATATATATATATATATATTTGTATATGTGTGTACAATGTGTAACTATTTCAACACGCGTGCATAATTTTTAATTATTAAAATATAATAAAAGCCACTTATTATGTAAAAATGTTCTTAGTAAATTAATTTATTATTTTTTACAAACAAAAAATTTCATTCAATTGTGGTATTCTAATTTTGTTTTTGTTTTTTTTTTCTGTACACGTGAATAAGTTAGAAATAAAATTCAAAATACTCTTGAAAACTTTATATAAATCTTCTGTGTGGAATATTTTAAATAAATAAAACCTAATTTTTAATTATTTAAATATAATAAAAGCCACTTATTATGTAAAAATGTTCTTAGTAAATTAATTTATTATTTTTTACAAACAGAAAGTTCATTCAATTGTGGTATTCTAATTTTGTTTTTTTTTTTTGTACACGTGAATAAGTCAGAAATAAAATGCAAAATACTTTTGAAAATTGTATATACATCTTCTGTATAATATTTTAAATAAATAAAACCTAATTTTAAATTATTAAAATATAATAAAAGCCACTTACTGTGTAGAGAGGAACATTTTTACATTTTAATTCATTAGGTTTCATAAAAATTTCATTCAAGATTTTTTACACACTTTACTACGTCAAAAAAAAATTAATTCAAAATATTTTTTATATCTTTATATACATCTTCACTATAATATAATATTTTAAATAAACAAACAAACCATAATTATTAATTATTGAAACATAACAAATGTGCCAACTATTGCACACGGGAACATTTTTAAATATTAATTTATTATCTTCCATAAAAATTTCATTCAAAAATTTTTTACACACCATCATCCTACGTCAAAAAAAATAAATTCAAAATTTTCTGTATAATATTTAAATAATCACAAACATTATTATTAATTATTAAAACATAATAAAAACCACTTATTACATAAAAACCTTTTTACATTTTAATTCATTATCTTCCATAAAAATTTCATTCAAAAATTTTTTACACACTTTACCACTTCAAAAAATACATTCAAAATATTCTACATACATCTCACTTATAACAATTTTTAATTAAACAAACTTACCTTTGTATAACAACAAATTATTACAACAATTATTAATTTCATTCCAGACATAAAAAATTTATTTCTTTTTGGATGGACAGGACTACAAAAGATTCTTCTCTTATCATACAAAAAAAAAAATAAAACCAACAAAAAAAAAAGGAATAGAAATTAAAAAAACGAACAAACAAAATTAAAAATTAAATGTCTATTTTCATATTTTGTTTTTGTTTTTTTTCTTTGTTAAAACAAATTTGTTTGTATTATTTGTATATGTGTGTGTGTGTGTGTACATGAGTGAGATTCTTAGTGCGTATATTAATTATTTTCTACAAATTAATAACTTGATTGTAAATAGATAACGAACACTTCATTATTACAAGGGGTTGG